TGCACTGGCCATTACAAAAGCATATGGTTCTGCAAGCAATCTCAGATTAGTATTGTATGTGCTGGGGTTTAGGGAATTGTTGGCTTTTGACCTCGTTTGCCGGATTGGTCTGACAAGATTGTGTGTTTTTTTCCTTCCAGGAATGCTGTTCCTCTCATATCTGGTTGAGGACAAGAACCACGGCGGCCTGTCCTACGTCGAGTTTTTGGTACATGTACATCGGCAAATCCAAATGAAAATGTCTTAATTACTGCACACTAGTTGAGTTGGTTTTCGAGTTTTGCTTACATTCGTCACCATGCGCGGGATCAAGTGGGCTCCAGAGAGAAGATATTGATCAGGTTTAGGCTATGTATACAGACTAGTCTTGGCCCCCAAAAGAAGCAACTTAATTGTGGAACGAAAACGAATTTTGTGATAAAGGGTTTTTTTCTTTTCTATTCAAGTGTAGGGTGCATTCAGAGTTGTTATTGTTGCCTGTTAAAATAACTCCAATAAATAGCAGACATTCTTCTTGTTTCGTTATTGTACTCGCGCTGCTCCACCCGCAGTCTCGGTCCACCGGTGTACTGTTATTAGGAAACTCCGAGCGGATGTGCAAGAAATTGTATCATGAGTTCTGTATCAATTACATTATTTACTTGTGAGATGGTCTCTCATCGTGAGTTCTGTATCAATTACATTATTTTACCTGTGAGGTGCTCTCTCTCTCTCTCTCTCTCTCTCTCTCTCTCTCTCTCTCTCTCTCTCTGGGGCTTATCATTTCCATCGATGCGATTTTGCCACCTCCATTTTTGTGAACGACTTCCGGACTTCGTTTGTTCATCAGCGTCGTGACTCTTGATTGCCTTCGATGAATCCTCGTGCCACCGGGTTCAGCATTTATGATCTCTTGACTATTTTTTTTGGTTGTCTTTTATCTTGCAGTTCTCTTTAAGGACGAGAGAGATTTGAGGGACCGAATCCCACAAATTCGCCTTGTTTTGCTTTGAAAACGTGATTATGCTACAAATGGGTTTCAGGTACTCTCATTCTTTTCTTTTCTTTTTTCTATTTTTTTTAATTTTTAACATAAAATTAAGGGATATTGACACATAGTTCATGAACTTTGGCGCAATGTGCAATGTAGTCTCTAAACTTATAATTTGTGCAATGTAGTGGATGAATTTTAGCCTAACGTATAATGTCATTCTTAAACTTATAATTTGTTCAATGTGGTTCCTAAACTTTTGGTATATGTTCAAGTTAGTCTTTGGATTATATGAAAATGATCAATGTTATCATTCTATTAATTTGAGTTGGGGGACAACATTGTACATTTTCATATAGTTCAGGAACTAGATTGAATATGTACGAAAAGTTCAGAGATCACATTGAACAAATTGAAAGTTTTGGAACAACATTGCACAAATAATCCGGATCTAAAGACGCAATTTGCATTCTTTCTTAGTGACAAAACAACTGGTCCAATCAAATCCTTTCGTTGATTGCACATATTGAAAGTTTAAAGATTCGATTGCACTTTCGTAACAAGTTTTAGTATTTGGTTGCACTTTTGTGAGTGCACTTATCCCTAACGTAAGTGGTCTTCTTAATAGTGTTTGGGCTTATGAACTTTCGGTCAAAAATACCCCTTTAGGCCCAAAGAACTTATAAAAAAAGGCCGAACGGGCAAGCAATATTTTTTAAAAGGGGCTTGGCATGAATTGGGCAAGCGTTGGCCCGTCAAAGCCCGTGATCTTTAGGGTGCGTTTGGCAATGTGCCAAACAGTGAAAATTTCTGTTCTTTTGTTCCCAGAAACAGTTTGGGAACAGAAATGCGTTTGGTGAATTTTTTGTTCCCAGACACATTTTTGCAAAAATTTGTGCCCAGAAACAGTTTTGGAAGAGAAACAAGAAGCAAAAAAAAGTTGCTTCTTGTTTCTCGGCACAATTTTGAGAATCAGTTTTTTTCTTCTTTTTCTTTTTCTTTTTTTTGTTTTCTTCTTTTTGTGTTGCTCTTCTTGGGTTGTGGCCGGTCGCTAGCGGCCGGCGACCAGCGACCGGCCACAGCCCAGGGCCGGTGAGGGCGTCACGGCCCTCGCCGGCCGCCGGCGGAGGAGAGGGTCCCCCTTGCCGGCGAGGGCGAGGGCTGGACCCTCGCCGCCTGGGCGAGGCAGCTCGCCGTCGCTCATGGCGAGGTCGGCCTCGCCCAGATCGGGCGAGGCCAAGCCTCGCCGTCGCAACCCACGGCGAGGTCGGCTTCGCCGTGGGTCGCGATGACGAGGCTCGGCCTTGCCAGATCTGGGTGAGGCCGAGCCTTGCTGTCGTGACCCACGGCGAGGCAGGCGACAAGGGCCGCGACGCCCTGGCCTGTGGCCAGTCGCCGGCGACCGGCCATGGCCAAGGAAGAGAAGGGGTAGAAAGAAAGAAAAAAAAATTAAATAATTCGAAATATTATTAATAAAAAGAAATTTTGTGTAGTTACCAAATGCATTTCTGTTCTTTTCTATTCCAGGAATAGAAATTTTGGACAGTTACCAAACGCCTTCAAATGCTCAGAAATTGTTTCCGGGCACAGAATAAAAAAGAATCATTTCTGAGTAAAAATAGTTCCCGGGCACAGAATGGTTGTCTTGGCCCAACATGGGCTTGTGCCGTCTTGGTTCGGCATGACATGCGAGCTGGCTCCGGCATGGTCTATCACATCAAACGGGGTGGCTCGGCATGGCCTGTTAATAGAATAGTTAGCGTCGTGCCGTGCCGTGCCACGCCGCACCGAGGTCGGCTTTTTATTAACAATTGTATCATAAAAGCTCTTCCTTACCTTTTTTCCTAAAAGTGGACTATATTTGAAGTGTTTCTCACTTAGGAAAAAGACAAGCTCAAATGGTCTTTGGCACACATGAATCTATGTAGGGCATATTGTGACTCATTTTATTAATAGCATTAATTTCTCATAAACAACAATAATCTAACCGTTTACATTAGAAACTTCTGCTGATATCTGAAAGTAAGAGATTATTTGGTTTTACGTAAGTTTCATATATGAGAAATATTTCACAAACTTTCTGATTTGGTCAATTGGGATCCCCCAACAAGGTGAATTATACTGAATACTAATAGAGCTTCTATTGCAGGTTTTTTTTACTATCGATGGGGGCTCTTTCTTCACACCCCGATAACCATGAGAGGATCATCTTACCTAGGACTTGCAAGTGTAGGGAGAGGGGATGTCTGACTTGGTGATTTTGTTACCTTCGTCGAAATATGGTCGTCGTCCCCAAGCAAAACTTTGGGCATTGTGGTTGGGACTCAACTTCGCAAAACAATTTGATTTTCACAAGGTCATCATTAAGATTGCTTTTAAAGTGATCACTCATCTTCTCGGTGCAAAGCTTACGGTTGATAATGTTGGTTATGCATTATTTAAATACATCATAAGACTGTTACGTTAAACTCTCACTTTGAGTTCAAAATGCAACATAACTTTTAAAAAGAAATTATCCCGCTGACTGGCTTCCTGATTTTGAAAATTATAAATGCTTGGACACTAGATTCTTATCACTGTCTCTTAGAGAGTTACTTCAAGCTTTTATCATATGGTGGAATTGGAATAGTAAATTCTCGACATTAATTTTTGTATTTGGCTATAATCCTTTTTCTTACCCAGAAAAAAAATATTCTCAATGAGAAGTGAACTAATTTTCTTATTACTGAATAAATTAATTTTTCGTCTAGCGATTACAATACAGTCTATCCGGCCAATTTTGATCGGCCGGCGCCGGTTGTCCAGCTAATGTTGATTTGGCAATTTTTAAATATATTATATTATTATTTTGAAAATTTTATTAATTGTTTTTCCTTTTCGCCCTTCTTTTCCTTTTTTTCCTCATAGTAGTTGGCGAGGGCCGTAAAGTCCTAGCCTAGATCTAGGCAAGGCCTGGGGGCCGGTGTCACTTAGACCTGGGCGAGGCTGCCTCGCATGCCGCCCCCAGGCCTTGCGCCCAAATAGCCGGGTGAAAGCGGCCATGGCCTTGCCTAAATCTAGGCGAGCCCGCGGCCCCTAGGCCTCGCTAGCCACCGTGGAAAAAAAAAGAGAAGGAAGAAAAGGAAAATGAAAAAAAATAAAAAGAAAAGACAGATAAAATAAATATATTTCGTCCGTTCTACATAAAAAAAAAGGAATAGATCAAAAGATTCGAGATTGATAACTACATCGGAAATCCAGCTATAGATTATCGGAGCGGAGGCCCCCACATATTCCAAATGATACCGTTGCAACCCTTCACTACGGGATGGCGTACCGAATTCATAACCATGCCATTGACCGGACTCTACCGGGAGCTGAAGATGCATTATCGGTTTCAATCGACGACGATCGGACATTTATGCGTGTCAATGTGCCGATTCAAAATTTCCCTCCATGCAGATTAGCTACCACGACGAACGGAAAATGGACAGAATGCATTCGAGCTCAACGGACACATCGAAAGCCCAAGCAACCCGTGCAAAATCTCCTCGACCAGGAAAGCCCCCATAAATTACACCTCGAAACGCAAGCACCTTGGTATCGTGAACAGAGAAGGCAGGCGCGCCCTTCCCCGATCCAACCTCACATCATGATCCGGAGGCAACCGAGCTTCCGATACACGCCATCGGTCACGTTTACTTAACGAGCACCCTCGTCGGGGCACAGGGAAAAGGTTCCGACGCTTTCGAAATTCCAAGCACTTTCCAAATCGTCCCATCGACGAGGAGAGAGAGAGAGAGAGAGAGAGAATCCCATTGTCCGTGCGAATCCCATCGCCAAATTCACAGCTGTAAATCGGCAAATAACAAAAACTCCAAAAAACGGAATACAAATCTAGCCAAGGCACCCAAAAAAAAGAAACTATTTAAGGTGATTGAAGAGAGAGAGGCAGAGGAGAGAGAGGGGAGAGAACCAAACGCGATTCAAACTTCTCTCTCCTCACTCTCTCGCTCGCGCGCGCGTTTTGCCAAATTCAGCGAAATCTCTCTCTCCCCCCAATTCCTAGGGTTTGCGCTCCATCGATTTCTCTCCGATGAAGGCGGAGGCCTCGACCTCCGGCGGCGCCGGCGACGGGATCGGCCCGAAGAGGAGGGGCGCGGTCGGCGCCGTCGCCCCGGAGCGGCTCAAGGCCGTGAAGAGGGAGCGGTCGAGCAAGGCGGTGACCTCCGACGGCGCCGGGATTGGCTCGGAGAGGACGGGCGCGGGTGGAGCCGCCGCCGCCGCCGCCGCCCCGGAGCGGCTGCAGGCCGTGAAGAGGGAGAGGTTGAGCAGGAACCGCGGGGAGAAGGAGCCGCCGCCGTCGTCGAGGGCGACGCAGCAAGACGACTCTGCTCGCAGGGTCCTGCGCTCCCACTACCTCGCCGTCAAGAACCTCATCAACGGTTGGTAGCGATTCTTGATTTTTGTGTTGGGGTCTGTTCTCCTGTCGTTCGACTCGTCGGTTTTCTTGTTCCCCCTCCTCTTTTCTTGATTCTTGGGATGATTTTGTCGATTTGTTTTCCTGTTGTTGTAGACGAAAGAGATGACTTGCTGAGGGCCGACTCGGATAAGTTCGCTACCATCATCACTGAAGTGGAGAACTTGTATGAACTAGGTATGGTTTGGTCCTTAATTATGCTTGCTTGTAACCATTGACTTCTGAAGGAATACGATTCGGAGCATAGTTGCTCCGCATACATTAGTTGCTTCGTTCTAGTGCTTATGTCATGTATGAGCCATCAAGTGAGTGACTGAAATCGGGATTTAGTTTCTATACTGGAACTGTGGTTTGGATTTGACAGAACACCATATGATCCTTTACAGAATTTATAGTATTTAGTGATTGGAGAGCCCTTCTGCCTCTTTATAATAGAATCTGCTGGTGTTTGTTGACTTGATTTTAGTATTGAAACTGTGATTTTTTTTTTTTCGTTCTCCGTGCACTTTTTCAGTGCAGAAGCCAAGGGAGCAAGTGGCAGATGCTGAGGCACTGTTAGATATTGCAAACACTCTGGTCAGCTCAGTGAAATCATACTCCAGTGAGGGCATAACTCCATCGGATTTTGTGAATTGCTTACTCAAGGATTTCGGTCAGCCGATGGGAGGCTTAGGAAACAGTGAAAATGATCGGGTCCCTTTTAACTGGAAGGATTTAGGCGTAGGTGTTTCGCCCATCTTTAGAAACTTCCGTGGCTGTTGTACCATGTGAGTTATCCTCTGGCTCTTCACGTGAATGTCTCGAAAGTCATCATTCGGATTTTTTAGTGTCGTGCCTCTCTCCTGAATTTGACTTTTTCCCTTCTCGTAGGCTTGGACCAATGAATACTCAGCTTAAGCAAAGGAAGGTTACTGTTCATAGAAGACATACGAGGCCCACTGAAAGTGCTCGCCCTGAGGAGGTATTTTCACCTTTGGACTTAGTTTGTTTTAATTTAAAAAAGAAAGCACGCCGAGGTATCTAGTAGAGTTGCCTGAGGACATAACTTGTTAGAACTTAAAAATTCACTCTGTACCCGTGAGCAAATGAGGAAGATATGTTTTTCTTTTTTTGGATATTGATTTTTATGTTGAAGGATTATGCATCTTGAGCATGTCTACGGTACCATGAGCAAACGAGCTAGTAGACAAATGATGACAGAATAAATGAAGTCATTGCATGAGAAACAGGTTTTTTCATTTTTGGTAAGTAAGGTAATCGTCAATGGTAGTATTGCATTACCGGGATATTGCTTTTTAGTTGTCTAATTCTTGTTTTAATTCTGATGGGGTTATGAATTCTCTTAAGAGGAAAGGCCCAGAGACTTTTTCACTGGATGAACCTCTTCTATTTAATTGTGCTTAAACTCAGCTGTGAGTTTCATTGGTTAGTTTATTCTCTTCCAATGTTCTTGCTGATCCACTTTGACCTTTAGTAACTTTTAGATTTCCACGTAAGTTTATGCTCAAAATACATGGGTTGAGTATTATCTTTGGAACTGAGATGACTGAGATGACAAAAGTCAGTGGTTCATTTGCGACAGATTGATGATGCTGGGGTTGAAGAGAAGACAGATACTGACAAGAACATGTCAACAATGTTTGAGATCTTGAGAAGGAAGAAGCGTGTCGGACTTGATAGCTTGATTTTGAACAGACAGTCTTTTGCACAGACTGTTGAGAATCTGTTTGCTTTGTCTTTCCTAGTCAAAGATGGGCGAGCTGAAGTTATTGTGGATGAGAAGGGCAATCACTTTGTTTGTAAGATTTATTTTATCCTCATAAACTTCTGTTTCAATCTTCAATATCGCTGGTGGCTGCATCTTTGCATGACACTGTTAATGCTTTGTATTGCAGCACCAAAAAATGCTCCCATTTCTAGTCTTGTTCTGTCTGGTGAAGTGGCTTACAATCATTTTGTATTCAGATTTGATTACAGGGATTGGAAGGTATGCATCTGCACCTTTAAAATAATGCAAGTCTCTTTTGTTTATTCCTTTTCATCCATCAATATCTCTTCTACTTTCTTTTTCTCATTTCCACCGAAAAAGTATTTCTTCTATATGCGGGAATATGACCATAGCTGTTGCTTATTGGCTATAGATGATGATTAGCACGCTACCACATGGAGAGGAGTTGATGCCACATAGAGAGCAGCAGATCTGCTCGGTTGCTTCTCAAGCAGATCCAGTGTCACGTAATTCTCAATCAGCATTAACCACAACACCCATTAGGAAACTGACTAGAAATCGTGGTTTGGTCATACAGGAAGAATCGGTGGTTCAAGACTCTCCTGTAACTGATGACGACACTTCAACAAGAGCTAATGCCATCCGAAAATGTAAACGGAAACTTCATTGAGGGGGCTTTTATGGGATGGTGGCTCATGTCAAGACTCCTTCAGTGTTTGCAGCTCTAGTTTCTGCTGTTTTCGGTGTATATAGGTGGATGGTCTAGGTTTTCCTTAGTGCGTAGTTCAAAGTGCATACCTCTATTCTTTTGGGAAATTTTGTTATTGACCGAGGTCTTTCTATTGGTGTGTATATTTTAGGTTTCTAAATCATCTGAGGATGCACTTTGTCGTGGTCTGTCCTTCTTCAATCAGAAGAATTGCTTATGTGAACTCTTGTATCGAATGTCAAGAACAAGCCATCCGAGTGAGTCTCTATATTTTAGTTGCTGACTCGCCGAGGCCTTTCTGCTTTAGTGGGTTAACTTTTAAGTCATCATCTTCGTTATTGGTCATATATGGCGGAATTAAGCCTTTTGTTGCTCATTTACTGGACTAGACCACATGCATGGGAATATGTGACTCCTTATTAAGGCGATACCGTTACGTAAGTACACTTTGCCCTATAATTAGCACTTATAACCAATTGCTAACATTCAATCTCCGAACCTGGAATCTGCTCCTTGTCTCCTGGGCTTTGTTATTTACTCACAACTGGCCTATTGGTCTCTACTTTAGGCTCCGTTCGTTTGGCGGAAAATATTCTCCTTTTGGAAAATATTTTTCCGGAAGTCATTTTCCTGGAAAATGTTTTCCCGGAACATAATTTTTCCGGTGTTCGGCGACCAATATGAAAAAGTTTCGAAAAATATTTTTCGCTAGCGACCGGCGGCGGGTGGCGGCAGCGACCGACGGCCAACGTCCGGCGTCCGGCGGCGGCGGCCGGCGACCTTAGTGATGAAGAAGAAGAAAAAGCTCCGGAAAATGATTTCCGCTTTTGAAGAAGCGGAAGTCATTTTTCGTAGACTTAGGCTATTTTGTGAGGGGGGGAAGGAAAATATTTTCTCACGGAAAACGTTTTCCGCCCCCCGAACATCGGAAAACCCGGAAAATATTTTTCGGAAGAATATTTTCCGCCAAACGAACGGAGCTTTAGTGTGTTCTCGTTTTTTCTAGAGCTGCTTCATGGCAGGGAACAGAAGAAGTTTCTAATCGCTGATCATTGACACCTTTGTTTTCAGTTGTCATTGTCAATACTGAAGTGAAGGTCTTGGCTTTATAGTGATTCCTGTTTTAGAAACCTAGCAAGCACAAATGGATGGATTAATGGCTTGTGTTTATGGTTTTTTCCAATTAATGGAAAGCACTGCGCCTTTTCCATTAGAAAAGAAGACAAACACTCAAGGACAAAATCTGGAGCCTTAAATTGGAAGGCCTTCCTTTGATGATACCAGTAAAAAGAGCAAAACTGAACGGAGCTGGCAAAACTTCTGATGCCGCGCTCTTCTGATGCGCTCACTATGTAATCTTCAGTGCTTGTTCTTTGGTATGTCAAGGCCCTCGAATAGCGGGCTGTCGACTCCGATTCCCATGGCATTTAGGCCGTTGTCGACGTATATAACGGCTCCCGTTATGGCAGAAGCCAAAGGCGATACCAAGAATGCAGCAGTGTTCCCCACCTCCTCTGTTTGACATTGATTCTTCGTCAGTATAGGATGGCCAAAAAATGCCAAAAAGACAGTACCACCGATGAGTTCAACGAACAGCACCTGCAGACAGTTCTTTCTGCAAAGGAGCATTGGCCATGGAATACTCTATCATCATATCAATGAATCCGATTGCTTTTGCCGCACGGCTTCTTAAAGGACCTGAAAGTTATGCATCGATAAATCTCAAATAATATTTGGTTGTTCATGGTTCGAATAGATGGTAGGTCTAGACCACACATGGAGCATTGTAGTTACACCTGCCAATTCTATTTTTCAGAAAGACAGCAGCTAAAAAAGACCAAAAGAACTGTCTCGACCAAATAGGCAGGAATTTTTTGCAATAATTACCGGATACCAATACGGAAGACGCAACCTAGTTCTTTTGATCTCATCACATATTTCTACAAAGGAGCAATTGTAGAAAGAAAACCTTGAGGCCTATGGAAAAAGGTAAGCTGGATGCTCTGTAATAATGCTTCCAAAATTATGAGGGCGAAAATGCCGACATACCCGCCGATATAGTATTCACTCTAATTCTGTTCTTTCTTCCTGCTTCAAAAGCAAGCACCTGAACAAGTCATGAGACCCACAATCATGTACAAAAGATGTGTGCGTGTGAGCTCGAGATGAATGATGCCAATACGGCAAAACGGCATACTTACTCGTGTGTCGCTTTCTAGAGCAGCTTTTGCAGAACTCATTCCTCCACCATACCTGTAAATGGCATGTGAAACCTGCATATTGATTATTCGTGGAAATGAGAAGTAACAGTGATAAATTCGGAGTTAATAAATGTACCCTGGAATGATCCTCTCAGAAGCAATGTAGGTAAGTGATATGGAAGAACCACCTACAGAAGTACCATCAAGTTTTCAGAAGAGAATCACTTTCCAAAATCAGTGAGATGGCATGACATATTTACTATGGTTAACAATCTGAGTCCGTTCAAAGAGCAGTTTTTGGAGAAAAAGACATGCCTGGGTTCATTATCGGCATAAAATGCTTGAGTAATGAAACATAGGAGTAACTTGAAGCAGATATTGCCGCAAGATAACCCCTCCTCGATGTTTCCAACAAAGGCTTGGTTACCTTTGAAACAGACAAATAAATAGTAAACAGCTTATTTAAACAGAAAGTAATCATCAACGGATGAACATGAATCACGTATTTACCTCTGGCCCGTTTGCAAGTGAGTGAACAAGAATGTCTATGCTGCCAAAGTCCTGCTTCACAGATTCTGCCACTTCCTACATATGTTTATATGGCTGCTTAATAATATGACTTTCGGCATCCGATGAAGAAAAATGCGGCACAGATGCCCAAACCATAATAAAAACTATATGGCTAATCATATGAAACAAAATAAAATTTTCTCATTGCATGAAATACGGCAAGATGGCAGTGACATAAGTAATTTGTTTCTCAAGAGAAATGAAGTCGTAGAATGGACAATTTTCCTCGCGCACTTAGGTTAAGATCCATATTCCCTGGAGATTAACCATCTTCATTTGATATATTATTAGTCCCTTTTGTAGACGTTATTCTCAATCTCAACGGTGTCCAAGACAAGATAAAAATTGGCAAAGGATATTCTCAAACCTGAACAGTCCAGTTGTTGGATCCTGCATAACGCTTGTTTGTTTTAACCTGCAAAAGCAAAATCAAATCATCTTCATTTAGGTCCTGAAGTTAGCATCCAACTTTTCAAGAATGCGGCATACTCTCATATTACATCTTCAGGGACATCATTAGGATTGTCATATACAGCATCTAAAGGATATACTTTGGAGATCTCCATGACAGAACCATCTGGCAACCTGAAACATGGAGCAATCAGTGTGACATATTCAAAAAAATTACCAGTTTTGGTTGCAACATGAACTAGTCAAGAGCAACTTACACACGTGATTCGTCAAACTTTCCACGCCGCAGGCTGGTTTCAAAGATTTTCAAAACCTAACCAAGAAATTAACCACCAATGAATGGGTATTTCAACGATTCCTCAGAAATCCTAAAGGACCAAACTGTATAAAAGCATAAAAGTGCATTATCGGCAGTAGTACTCACAGGCACCCATGTGCCAACAAGAATTTCAGCCCCAGCAGCAGCAAGAGATTTTGCTATTGCCCAACCATAACCATTGTCATCAGCTATGCCCGCTATAAATGCCCTCTTTCCTACAGATAAATTAAGAGTAAGACCACAAAACTTTATTGTCACAGATGAAATGAAGACATATGCTATTATAACAGAAAAAATCTGGCTCACTAAACAAATGTATACAAGTAGAGTAGATAAGCTACCAATCATTATAAAGACAGTTTAAACTACTGCAACGTCTTTTAAAAAAAATCCATCATTTTTCCATACTTTTTGTTGCTCAGAAATATACACTATATATCATTGTCTAGCTGTTCAAGAGAAAAACAGAGGTTATGTGGAAAAATACTCAAAGATTGGCATTCCGTCCAAGAATGACATCCTTCCATGCGGCAAGCTCGCCTGCTTATTAATATTTCAGAAGCCCAGTGACTACTGAAATGAGCGACACAAATAGGAAACACAAAGGGCCAAAAGAAGCAAATTGCAACACCTTTTCCAGATGCAAGAAGCTAACACATAAACTGATTAATGGATAAAGTTTGCAACAGATTGAGATAACAAATTGCCACAAGAAGCAAATTACTATGAGGAGACGAAAGGAAATTTTGACAAAAAAAATGAAAACTGACCTAATAGCATGTAAAAACTAAGCATACAGAGAAGAATACGTGAAGAAAATTCTGACCTCTCAAGTCAATTGGCAAACCTGACGAAGGCTTGCTTTGACTATCTTCAGACATGGCCTTTGTCACAGGCTTATCTGATTTCACCCCTGATGACGAAGAAATTCCTCGGAAGGGTAGCATACATGATAGATGACAAGTGCTAGCAAGCTCAGCCCACGATGCCACCTTATTGTCGTAACCAAGAATTGTGGCACCTAGTCTAAAAGCTTGGCGCGAAGAGGATACATAGGGTCTTACTGTTGCAAAATGCAGGCCAGATGCCATTGTCGATGCCATGACGAACAGATTAACTCGAGCGCAACAAAATGAAAACCTAGAATTACGTAAAAGCAGGTCAGAACGACTTGAAGTTGCAAATCAAATGACGCATTGTGTGATCTAGTGAGGAAAATAATTTCCATCAAGTCTGCGTGAGTCTTCATCAAATTATATTCATCGAAACACTCATCCACTCGAACTCGCTTGGTAACTTCTCTCATTTTCATACTAGCGCTGTTCGTGTTCACAACTGCTCCAGGTCTAGCATTGTTCAATTGTATCCAACAGCTACATCATTTAACAAGACAACCACTGCAGCACCAGGCCGAGCAGAGGGCGACACAGCTCAGGCTTATCAAGAAGACGTTTTGAATTCTTGTCCTCAAAAACTCTTTCTTGCTTTCCCCAGTACGCACAACTGTCACTTCTATCTCTCTCCCTATCTTATACTTAACAAGAAACAACAACCCATCTACCCGCGATTTGCCAAGATGCGAGCAGTTCAAATTTAAAAGCAGAACATCTTTTTTTTTAATTCTAGAACCATGGCTAAGTACCAAAATTCAAAAAAGAACAAGAACACATGCTTGACTAATCTCTGCGGGTTTCCACAATTCCAAGCACAAGCACTGGCACACGCTCCACAGCAAAATGAAAACAGCACCAAGAGGCGAAATTCTCAGAAGCACACCCTCTTTTCTTCACTCCCAGCTATAAAAGCAACGCCATTTTCCGCCGAAATCGACGAATTGGGTTCACCACGCGAGGCAGAGGAACGATTCTCGCTCAAGAACATAAAAGCAGGAGAGAGAGAGAGAGAACCTGTTAACGGTGACTGGTCACTTCGCGACGGGTTACAGTGCAGCTTCAACGAAGAAGCTTGGTGACAACTACAAGTGACAGCCCGGACTGAGGCTCACCCACTCGCTTTCAGACCAGTGCACGCCAAACAGATGTGTAGTGCAGGAAGCAAAGGACAAGACAAGAAGCTCCTCTTTCCTTTTGGTAAAAATTCCTAAATGGTGCGTCTTTTTTCGACCGAGCAGGTGTTTTCACTTATAACATGAACTGAGTTGATCCATGGCGCGGCCATGGCTGTCGATGGGGGAGGGCGGCTGGGCCCGGCCCTCGCCGTAGCGAGGGCCGTCCTCATGCCGCTTCGCAGCGAGGGTTCGACCCTGGCCTACTTTTGTCCAAATTTGTAGCTACGGTCACGACCCCTGTTGATGCACGTCGGTCGGCCTTGCACACGGCGGAATCGATGACTTTGTTCGTGATCGAATAACTCGACAAAAATGATAGCTTGTTCATGGACTAAGCCGGACATAAAATGAATTGAATGATCACATTAAATAAATTAAAAAAAAAATTAGAGACAAATAATGCCGTTGTCCCTTTTTTCTGAAAAAGAATATCTAAAACGATTTTGAGGTTTGCAACTTTATCAAGGATAAATACCATATAAAATCCCAAATCGATACGCTTGAGACAAATTTATCATAAACTAATTTTTTGATAATCAAAAATCCTAAACTGGTACAACTGTAACAAATTTACCCTAAATTAGTATATTTGCGACAACTTTATACTCTATTAGTTTTCGTTAAATCGGATTAATATCATGAAAAATCACAAATTGATATATCCGTCAATTGCCACCTGTCATCCGATTCAGCAATATGATGGTAGAATTTAAGAGGAACTAATAGAGGATAAATTTGTCACAACTGTACCAGTTTGGGATTTTTTGTGGCCAAAAATTTAATTTGATGTAAATTTACCACATGTGTAACAGTTTGAAGTTTGAAGTGGTGTGAACCCCTTTTATCAACTTGCATCTTGTACTTCTAAAAATACAATTGTGCAGTTTTGGAGGGAGCTGTATGGTTGAAAAGATTAAATTGTCCTTGGCCCAAAAGGCTCAATGGAAAAGACACCAAATAGGAGTGAGCGGTTCTAGATTCCTTACAGATTTCACTTGAAACTTGGAACCTATCATCGGGTACAGGTTCCTCATTTTTTGGAACCTGAAATCTACCCGTCGGAATCTGGAAGAATAGGTTTCAGGGTCTAATAGATTCTTTTTTTTTAGTTCATTTTTAGTTAAACAAAATGAAAATGAACGCAATAATACTTAACAAGCTTGTCATTCACCAAAGAGAATACAAAAGACTAGTTTTCCTAACATTACGATTCAAATAAATACAATCAAAATGAGAAGTCATTGCGTGAAACGATACTAGGGGTGAGTGATTTCACGTTTCGTACAGGTTTCGCCTGGAATTTGGAATTACCCATGAGAATAAATTCCTCATTTTTTGAACCTGGAACCTACCCTATCACAGGTGGTCTACCCAAGTTCCACCTGTATTATTAATTGATAATTGCAACGAATCATCACTTTTAATGACCACCACTTGCTACTATGATCCACTGATCACAACTTATATTTAGATACACGAAGGATATGAAAACATTAAAAAGTCATAAAATGAAAGCTCAGACTAGTAGTTCCAGATTATATACTCATCATCTAACATCATGAAATACTGCAAGATCACGTGAAGACATAGACTAAGAAAAAACACAAAAACCTTGTTTAAATTTTAGGTTCCACCTATCTAGAACCTGAAATCTACCTATCGAAATAAGTTCCCCAAATTTTAGAACCTGGAACCTACCCTGCATACCTTGAAATCTGGAACCTACATGTTCCTACCGGTCAGGTTCTCAGGTTTCAGTTAGGTTTTTAGGTTCCAGATTTTACTATGAAACCATGCTGACCCCTAACACCAAATGCATATGCCCCATGGTTTGGAAAAAAAGTACACAACAAAAAGTGAAAATCACTCTGAACATATCATCAATATGTGCGGAGGTGGAGAAAGAGGATCGTGCCCCATAGCAAATTGGTTGTTAGGTTGAGCTTCGAATACACACATAGGATTGCCTTAGGAGAATGAAGTCTAAATGGAGTATGCAGATATGCATAAATTGCAGGTAACTTGCCCTGACTTTGTGTTTTATGAGTGTTTTATGAGATGAAATAAAATTTGCTATTGACTTCGTGAAGAACCCTCTGCATCTTTGCTTGCGCGGATTGCGGTCGGAGGGCTCAGTGGTGCAACGTGAGCCCAGATCCACCCTGCATAGCTGGCTGCACTGGGAAATAGAGATGTTCGGCACTTCCATCTTCTAGATGCACGGAATCGCAAAAATACTGCCGTCCGATAGGCTTTTCCCCGATGCCGAAACATTGACTAGGCAGGTATTAGCTCCTGCGGGTCGTAGGGGGGAGACCCCAACGCCGTGTCGCCCGATAAAAAGTCCGAGAAAATGCTCTAAAGAGAGGATTTGCACTTGGCTAGGCACACAACCACTCGAGAGCATAGCCTAGTTGGCTCGGAATGAAATAGGTTGCCTATCGAGAACAATTTTATTTGACTGCTGCTCGATATTTGTAGGGAAGGGAAAAAAAAAGAAGAAAGAATCTAAGAAGGTAATATAAGTAAATATTGACCGGTGGATGGATTCGGGTCCATGCGTTCGGACACATTGCGACCGCTGATCGCGTGGGGGGTCTCGGTGGTGTTGGACTCGCATGATCAACGGCCTCGATGGATCGTGGACAATTTTCTCCAAAGGGAACCGTCGTAAGGCCCCCAAAAAAGGAGAGAAAGCGGCCGTTGAAACGTGGGCCTTCTTGTAGCGGTTAACCAATGCCCAAGGGGGCCCGTCGCCGTCGGACCGGGTCGGGTAGGCGCGGCCCGCGGTGGAATCGGATCCCGACTCGGGTAGGACGGCAAGGGCGGGCAGGCGTCTCGTCACGTGATACCTATCTTAGCAAAAGAGAGACCCTGCCCGACGTCATCCGATCCCCACGTGGAACGCGCTCGCACCCACCCCCCGCCTCTTCGAATTATCGCGTCACCCCTTCCCAAAAATATCCTTTTCCTCCTTCCTCCATTTTTTTTTTATTAAAAAAAATTTCAATTTAATAATTCCCTCGAAATGTAAAATTGTGTTTTTTTTTGCCCTAATTTCCACCTCCCCCCGGGTCCAACCCGCCACACATCATCATCTCACGCTCCTCCTCCTCCTCCTCCTCCTCGTCTCTCTCTCTTCTCCTCGGAGCCCCGCCCGTTCCCCCTCCTTTCCCCCCCTGCCTCCGCGAAACCCTAGCTCGCTCTCTCTCTCTAAAACCCTCTGCGTCTTCCCTCCTTCTCGGCTCGGCGGGGGCTCTCCGGCGCGGCGCGGCGCGAGGCGAGCGGGGGAGAGAGAGCCACATGGACTTCGGCGGCGGCCGCAAGAGAGGGAGGCCCGACGCTTCCTCCAACGGCAATGGCGGCTTCAAGAGATCCAGGGAAGGTTCGTTCCCACCCCGCTTCTTTGCTCTCTCTCTCTCTCAGTTGACGCGAGCGCGTGCGTCCCCGCTTGTGTTGTTCCTGATTTCCTCGGCTCTAGTGTAGGCCCGTCGGAGGGAAAATAAGCTGCGGTTTTTTTTTTTGGGGTTTTCCTTCGGTTGTTTCCTGTGGTACTACTAACTGGGCAGTAGTCCCAGTGGCCGACTAGCAATTATGGTAGTTTGCCCTGCGGAAAAAAAAGATATTAAATTTGGGAAGCCCTCTGGCGTTTTTTCTTTTTTTCTTTATGAGCTAGGGCGGTTTCAAAGCGTCGCTCTTTGTCTTGCTCCGATGGATCTTGAGTCGTCCCTGCAGGTCGTTGTGTCTGTTCCCTGAATCTCCCCGATGTTGTGATTATAGGGTTTGAGTTTGTTGTTGCGCTTTTTTCCGGTACGGAATGCTTAGGAGCAAATGGGCGTGTTGTTCGCCTGAGAAATAGCCTTGCTCGGTGTTTGAACATGGTAGTCTATAAAGCTCAAATCCGGGTTGGTTTCTTGTTACGCTAGATTTGTTTTGGCTGAGGAGCTTTTCGTGTTAGTGGTTTGTGAGTCGAGATTAGTATCTTTGGTAAAAGTTCCCTTTGTCATTTTCTTCGTTGCCTGGATGCCGCATTCAAATGTTAAAAGAGCTTGAAGCCTCCGAACTTGGTGTTTCGGTAAACATCGCTATTGGCCAGTTAATTCGCCAAAAGAATATTTAGCATTGTGAGGTTTTTTATGCATGTAACGAAAGTTAAGGTGTTGAATGTACTTTTCTTCTAGGTATTCAGTTGCTTAAATTTTTAATGTTTTAGCAACCAGAACTTGCTATGCTGGCGTAATAACTATTGTCGTGGAGAATAAAATACATTTTCTTCTTGCAACTTTTCACTAAAGTGTGTACTCTTTGTTGGAGTGTCAAAGCTTTCTTTCCCTACGTTACATTCGACGAAGTAGTGAGTGGATAGTTTTACTTGATTGGAGAGCATTTTCTTTTGGTTGTGATAACAAATGGTAATGTGACGTAATGTCGTTAAATTCCAAGGTCATTCACCCGCTGAAATTGTCAACTGAAAGAAATTAACTAATGTTCTGCAACAGAATCGGAGACCTATTCAACTGGTATAGGAAGCAAATCGAAGCCATGCACAA